GCATGGCCTCGCGAGTCCTTGTGTCTGGTCTTCCCCGGTCTCTCCCTCCCCTTCCTCCGGGCCCTGGCCCTACCTGTGTCCCCTGTGTCGAGGGGCGCCAGCGTGCTGCCCCTCACTCCTCCCAGTTTCCTCCGACAGAGGCCCCGTTGCAGACGCTTCACATGGACGTGTGGGGCCCAGCCCGCGTCCGTGGACAGGGTCAGGAGCGCTACTTCCTGCTGGTGGTTGACGACTACTCGCGTTACACCACAGTCTTCCCCTTGCGCAGCAAGGGTGAGGTCACTGCGGTGTTGATCGACTGGATCCGCGCAGCTCGTCTCCAGCTTCGGAGGAGCTTTGGCTTTGACTTCCCTGTTTTGCGTCTGCACTCGGACAGAGGCGGAGAGTTCTCCTCTGGCCTCCTGAGTGCCTACTGTCGTGCACGAGGCATCCGTCAGACCTTCACGCTTCCGGACTCACCACAGCAGAATGGGATTGCTGAGCGCCGCATTGGCATGGTCATGGACGTCGCTCGTACGTCCATGATGCATGCGGCTGCTCCCCATTTTCTGTGGCCGTTTGCGGTCAGGTACGCTGCGCACCAGATCAACCTCCACCCCAGGGTCTCTCGACCGGAGACCTCCCCAGCCCTGCTGTGGACGGGGAAGGTTGGCGATGCGTCGGCGTTCCGGGTCTGGGGATCTCGGGCGTTTGTTCGCGACCTGTCTGCGGACAAGCTGTCCCCTCGTGCTTCTCCCTGCGTCTTCCTGGGGTTCCCCCCCGACGCCCCTGGGTGGCAGTTTTACCACCCCACCTCTCGACGTGTTCTGTCCTCCCAGGACGTCACGTTCGACGAGTCGGTACCCTACTACCGCCTCTTCCCCTACCGCACTCCGTCCCTCCCCCCACCCCCGCTCTTCCTGGTACCAGGTCCCCCCCCGGTAGTCCCCCTCCCCCCTCAGGGTCCTGCCCCTTCAGGTGTGTCCCAGGTAGACGCGGTCGAGCCTGTCGAGGTCACTGGTGACTCTGGTGCTGCTGCGGGAGCTGGGCCTGGGGGTGCTGAGCCTGGGGGTGCTGGGCCTGGGGGTGCTGAGCCTGGGGGTGCTGAGCCTGAGGGTGCTGAGCCTGGGGGTGCTGAGCCTGGGGGTGCTGAGCCTGGAGGTGCCGAGCCTGGGGGTGCTGTGCCTGGGGGTGCTGAGCCTGGGGGTGCTGTGCCTGGGGGTGCTTCGTCTCGCCGGGAGCCACTCTCCCCGCAGGAGCTGCGTGAGTGGTTTGCCAGGCGCTGGAGGTGTGCTGCTGGTGCTGGTGGTTCTTCGGCTGCAGAGGGTACTGCTGCCTCGCGTCCCGGCGGTGCTCGTACTGTGGGTGCTGGAGCTGCTGGGTCTGAGAGTTCTCCTGGAGCTGGTGCTACTGAGGGTGTTGGCGCTGAGCCTGCCGTTGGCGGTCCGACTGACAGTGCTCCTGGTGCTGCTGCTGGAGGTTCTGGAGCTCCTGGTGGTGCTGCTGGAGGTGCTGCTGGAGTGGGTACTCCTGCCGGGGCTGCTGGTACTGTTCCTGCTGTTTCTGGTGTCGCCGCGCGGCCCCGACCTTACTTCGTTCCGCTACTGCAGCAGGTTCTTGGTCTTCCGCCTCCTCCTCCTCCTCCCTTAGAGGGTCCGCAGCCTGTCCGGTCACAGCCACAGCTACAGCCTGCCTCCCCTTTGCCTGCTCCGTCTCCCTACACTGGTCCGACTGGAGGTCTTACTGAGCGTCGTGAGCCTGCGTCTCGTCCTGTGTCGCCTGTTCGTACTGAGCGCGCTAGTGGTCGCGGGTCGCGTCAGCGTCCTCCTCCTGTCCCTGGCACGCACCGGATGTCACTGCGTCCGTCCACTGCTCCTCTGCGTGCCCCTTTGCCTTCTCCTCCTGCTTCCTCTCTTCCTGCTCTTGCCGACCCGGAGTCGGACTCCCTTCGTGCTGCCAGTCCTACTGTCACGCGTCTCCTTGCTACAGCTGTCACTGACCCTTCCTTCGAGTCGTCTGCTGCGTCTGCCCTTCTCACTGAGCTTGTCGACTTTGCTGCGCGCTGTCGTCTAGACTACGCTGCCCGTCTTGTCACTGAGTCTGAGTCCGCCTGTCCTCCGTCCGTCGGGGGTGAGTGTGCCCTTGGCACGGACGTCCTTGAGGACAGGCAGGAGGAGTTCCAGTGTCTAGCCGCCGCTTCACCTCGTCTCGCGTCTGTACTGCTAGCCCCTGAGGGAGACCCGGATGCACCAGACATCCCGACTCCGCGCTCTTACGCGGAGGCGATAGAGGGTCCCTACTCCTCTCAGTGGCAGGCAGCTATGGATGCAGAGATGGCTTCCTGGAAGTCCACAGGCACCTACGTTGACGCTGTTCCCCCCCCTGGGGCGAACATCGTCAGTGGCATGTGGATTTTCAGGGTGAAGCGGCCGCCGGGTTCTCCGCCTGTCTTCAAGGCGCGTTACGTGGCTCGTGGCTTCAGTCAGCGGCAGGGGGTTGACTACTTTCAGACCTTCTCCCCCACCCCGAAGATGACCACTCTTCGGGTCCTGCTGCACGTTGCTGCTCACCGTGACTACGAGCTGCACTCTCTCGACTTCAGCACAGCTTTCTTGCAGGGCAGCCTGCACGAGGAGATCTGGCTGCGTCGCCCACCTGGCTTCACTGGGTCTTTCCCTCCTGGTACCCAGTGGAGTCTCCGGCGTCCAGTCTACGGTCTCCGCCAGGCGCCACGTGAGTGGCACGACACACTGAGGACTACGCTCGCGGCACTTGGGTTTGCTCCTTCTACTGCCGACCCGTCGCTGTTTCTGCGCACCGACACCTCTCTGCCGCCGTTCTACATCCTCGTGTACGTCGACGACTTGGTCTTTGCCACAGCTGACACTGCTGGACTCGCCTACGTGAAGTCCGAGCTGCAGAAGAGACACACGTGCACTGACCTGGGTGAACTACGCAGCTATCTTGGCTTGCAGATCACCCGGGACAGAGCACGCCGCACCATTACCCTGACTCAGTCACACATGGTGCAGCAGGTCCTTCAGCGCTTCGGCTTCACGTACTCCTCGCCTCAGGCCACTCCTCTGCCTACTCGCCACTCGCTCTCAGCTCTGCCTTCGGATGAGTCCGTAGAGTCGAGTGGCCCGTATGCAGAGCTTGTTGGCTGCCTCATGTACCTGATGACCTGCACACGACCTGACCTTGCATACCCTCTTAGCATTCTCGCACGCTATGTTGCTCCTGGGAGACACCGACCAGAGCACATGGCTGCAGCGAAGAGGGTGTTGCGCTACTTGTGCAGTACGTCGGGCATGGGGCTAGTGCTTGGAGGGCGCAGTCCAGTGGTCCTCACTGGGCACGCGGACGCTTCTTGGGCTGACGACCAGGCTACGCAGCGGTCGTCACAGGGTTACACCTTCAGCCTTGGTTCCGGCTCTGTTTCGTGGCGAGCTACCCGCTCGTCTTCTGTTCTCGGCTCCAGTTGTGAGGCTGAGATCTACGCCGGGGCTATGGCTGCACAGGAGTTACGCTGGCTCACCTACCTGTTGACCGACCTTGGAGAGCAGCCTCGTTCTCCTCCAGTCCTGTACGTAGACAACAAGGCCATGCTGGCCTTGTGTCGAGAGCAGAGACTGGAGCACAGAACGAAGCACATTGCTCTCCGCTACTTTCTTGCTCGTGAGCTACAGCAGCGTGGACAGTTGCGACTTGCGTACGTGGCCTCTGAGGCCAACACTGCTGATGTCTTCACCAAGGCACTTGCGCCTTGTGATCATCAGCGTTGTTGCACGCAGTTGGGTCTTGTGCCTGTCTTGCCTCACTTGCTCTCCTCTTGACCTTGCTTGTACCTTCGCCTATATATACTCTTGCTTACTTGACTCTTGTATATCTCTATATATGATCTTGCATGTGAACTGGTCATGTGGCCTTGAACTTGTGCTCGGAATGTGTGGTGACTTTGTGATCCACCCTGAGCTTTGCTTTGCTTTGCTTGACTGGTCTTGTGACCCCTTGTTCTCCCCCACTTTGCCTATGGGGGTGTGTCAGAACTATATAGCTTATACTATTGTGTAGGCTATAGTGGGGTATCCCATAGGGGGTACAACCCAATTAGGGTTTCCTATTTGTACTCACTTCTTTCATAGTCATTCCATCCTCGTTCTCTCTTTCACAGTAACATACCGTATGTTGGCCACAAATGTACTCACCACAATCGCCACCACAACACCAGTAACCATATGCCTAAGAGTGGACTTGCTCCTTCCCTGCAACAAAACCTAAGGAGATGAGATGGGATTACCTGGGGATGCTTATGCGCCCATCTACCCACACATTGTACCATTTTTGTCCCTTAGTGCAATACAGTAGTTGTTTCCATTGCATACACAAAGTATTATACACAAAACGACAGAAGCTCCACTTAGCAGCAAGTGTCGCGAGCAAGTCAGCAAAACATGTTGTGATCTCAGTTCAGTCAGAAGAATGTGCCTTATGCCCAACAATCGTATGGTCAACCATTAATCCCATCCCCGCTAGTATTGAGCAAGTTGATTCTGAACAGATTAGTATAGCATCGCACATCCAGTCTGATCTGACGACCATTTATGGGATTCATAGCAGCGACATCAGCTCCCAGAGTAAAGGCCATGTCGGGCTAAGGAGGCAACAGGGGGGTGGCAGAGAGCTGATAGAGCACCGGAGGAGAAGGGCTGTTGCAGCACAACTGGGCGTGGCTGTATGGGGGCTTGCATGTGCGAGCCCCTTGGATTGGACGGCGTGTACAGGCCATTGGTGGTGCCAGGGGCCATTGAAAGTTGACCAGGCACTATCAGCCAAGGCATTGGTGGCAGTGGCTGTAGCTGTGGCTGTGGCTGTAACTGTGGCTGTGGCTGGTGCGGTGGCATAGAGATAACGCTCTCAAACTCTACATGCCGACAATCATTCCACTGTGCAAGCGTAGCCACGTTGGTGAGAAACTGTTGCTGCCTGTGTAACTGACGACCTTCCTCCCCGGTCACTCCCTACTCCACCGCCCACCCTGACACGACTGTCCCGGCAGCACAAGGGGGTGCAGGCCCCTGAGATTGAGGCCCACTGGGCAAGGGCATGGTGAGGGCACTCCCACTCAGCAGCACATGAACAACAGGAATGTTGAGAAAGAGAGCACCCATGTCCCTGTCACTATGGTTGTCAATGCCCCCGTTGTTAGTGCCGTTGCTGTTGTTGTCAGCGTCGTTGCTGTTGTTAGCGCCGTTGCTGTTGTTGTCAGCGCCGTTGCTATTGTTGTCCGTGTTGCTTCCGTTCCAGAGCGCGTCAATGCATGCATCAACGTATTCCTGCTCCTCTGTGCCACACGTACTCCCCGCAAGCACCGCTGAAATGCAGCTGCTCGTGCTGCCGAGAGTGGAGGCACAAAGAGCAGCGGGTGCGCGTGGCTGCGTCGGCGGAGGAGCAGAGAGAGCAGCACGTTGTGCGGAGGCAGGGTCCTCGCAGCATAGTCTCAGGAGCATGTCGTCTAAAAGGGCACTCTCCGATCCAACGCGCGGCCACTCCACATGCTGCAGTGTGGAACCATCCCCAATGCAGGGAGCGGAGCCAGACAGAGCAGCGAGTTTGGGGAGCATTGTTGTTGGCAACGGTGCATGGGGGGCGAAGAACGCCATCACGCACTCCTCATACGACAGCCCTCCGAACGCCAGGGCTGCTGCTCCCACGCCCTCCGAATGCTCCGACTGCTGCTGCTTGAGATCCTGACAGAGCAATGCCTGGCTGTGGCCATCCAATGGAATATGCTGCAGGAGTGCAGTAGCTCCCAGGTGCTTTCGCAGGAAGTTCTGGCGAAAGCGGTCTGTGAACTTCCTTCCATCAGCACACGGCCTCGGGAGAGAAGAAGCGTTATGGAAGGCTGAGGCGTGTTAGAAATGCTCACGGGTATCACGACGCCTGGATTCAGAAAATCACAAATGTGGCATGAAGCATGGGTTACCTTCGGAGGAAGATGTAACAGTTACAGCACGACTTGTTGTTCCTCTTGAGCTGACCGCTCCTCTCCAGCTCGCCCCACTGCTTCGTGCCACACTGCAGCGCGTGGCGCAGCAGCACCGCGTCCTCCTGCCCACTCAGTGTGGAACGGAGGGAAAGACAGAGTGAGTGCGGCATTCCCATGATGAGCGGCATTGGGGTGTGAATGCTGACATAACAGGGGAAATGCAAAAGTGAATTCTGAATCCCATTCCAAGCGTAGAATCCGGCGGATCTTGAAATCTTCCGGACGCACCCCTCGCCGCGACCACCTCTGGCGACCCACCCACCTCTGGCAACCCACCCACCTCTGGCGACCCACCTCTGGCGACCATGGCTGCATGCCGGGCGCTGTAGATTGAGATTGCGAGGCCGGCGAGTCAACGGCTTCAGAGGAATGCGGTATATCGGCTATAACGCCTTGCTGAGCCAAATCGAGGCTGCTCTTTAGGCGCAGCAGATGCCCTTAACACTAGCCCAGCCCACAGCGCAACGGTTGCAATAGCGGTCGAGCTGCTCGTGATAGCGGTGGAAGTAGTGCTGGTTTTCAGACAAGTCATGCTGGTAGCTCGGAGCTAGCTGACGAAAGCATGACTTTGAGTCTCGCAAGACTCTATCAGGGGATGGAATGACATCACCGACCCATGCACACAGCTTAGGCGTCATTGTGGGCAGGTGTTCAGTCCCTGGCTCTGATTCGCCACAGTGTGGCGTTCAGGCCTGGGCTTTGATCGTGCGCTTCTTGATGATGCCGTCTCGTCTCGTCTTGGCATGCGAGGGATGCTTTCTCGCCACATTTCTTCGTCAAACGCGCGCTGACTCGCGTGGGAGGAGGAGGTGTGCGACGAAGTGCAGCTGGTGGAAGGTGGTGATGCGATGCGATGTGATGCGCGTGCAAGGATGTCGAGGTCAAGTGTGGCCAAGTGGGCTGACGAGAAGGGGTACCGGCAATCATTGCACTCGCTTAGTTGTGGCTTGATGTCCGACATTTCCGGACGTAAAACCTCCAATAGGAGGTGGCGATTTGATATTTAATAATATATCGCACACTAGCATCTGATGATCCTCTCGAAATCGGCCTGTCACATGCATGTAGAATGGGGGGGGGGGGGGGGGTGGGAGGGTCGTTGTGTGATATGAGGCACGTGTACACCGGCCAGCGGTGAAAACCTTCCAGACGTTTGCGTTTCGTTCGAAATCGGATAGTGGATAGACAAACGACGCCGCTGGCTGCAGCTGCGAGCTCCTATCGGCCTCTCGGCCAGCTCGCACATCCAATCCAAATGCACTACACACCGGCGGAAGGGGAAGACATCGTTGCCCTGGCAGGCAACTGCTACTGAATGCCGCATCACGAGCAAGACTGAAGGAGGAGCTGATAATATCTTGGGAATTAGGACGTATCTTATGTGAAGGGTCTGCTGGATCTGGTCCGCGATCAGAATCTACGCCTGGTCCGGGGTTCTGGTCCAACGGACACACTTGGCGGACCAGCGTTGGACAAGACACGGACTGGTCTGGCAAATCCGTCGCGTTTCGGGCTGCACAGTATTTGCGAGATGCAGCAGTAGCAACGAATTTGAAATTTAGTTACCCATTTTCTTCGTCTGCAAAAAAATCTCACGCGAAACTTACAAAACAAGAAATTTCGCAAAAATAAATGTTTCACCACCTATTGTTTACGGACCAGGCGCGGACTGGTCTGGAGGGCCAAATAAATGGCACCGTTTTAGTGCCATTCAAACGGTATAACGGCGTTACAGGCCCCGCATCCTGGTCCCGGTCCGCCCTGGTTCACGCGCTGGTTCTTGAGCTGGTCTGTCAGGTCCGAGCCGGACCCACGTGGACTCAGACTTCTGAGACACCCTCTTATGGCATGGATACAGGCTGTCAGGACGCGTCACAATTGCGTTATCGATCCTGCGGGAGATCGAATTTCCGAGTGTACAGTAGTTCGCCGTGTCTTGTATCCCGTTTTTGTTAAAATACGCTAAGATCCGAACGTGATGTCCCTTCCAGATCGATCCGTCACCGCACTAAAATCCTACGTAGTGAATTTTTTACTTTTAAAAAGGCTTCTAACCCCGCTAGCTATCGAACCTGAAGACAATCGCGACACATCTGGCTGAGAGGAGATCGATTCTTGTAGCTTCGGTCTGTGACCGCAATCCTCTTCGATGCCGCAATTGTGACGCGTCCTCAGGGGCTAGGCGAACGCTGCGCAGGACTCAAGTCTGCCGACTTGTAAAACAGAGTAGCTCTGATGACTCGAAGGCTGGAAACTTGGCTGGAAAAGCTCAACAGAGCTGCTGGACTTGTGAGAGAAAACTTACACTATGCTCAAGATTGTACAAGCCCACTAAGGCACAACTTCTTAAGCATTACAGTCATGCAGATTGATAGCTCAAACTAGGCTGCTAGACAAGGCAATTTCCTAGAGAACTTAGACACAATTCAGATTCCATGAACCTTGAGTGACTTGAGAACCACATGAGGTGCATGAATAAGAAAGCTCTGGAATTCTCTATCATAGCTGATTTTGTTTGGTAGAGACCTGTAGAAATAGTTGACACTTCTTCTTGAAAACGATTCCGAACTGTATCGAGAATCCGGCTTCAATCTGATTGGTTGAGAAACTTTTTGATTTGTTTGTGAAGCCTTCAATCCGTCGCCGACATTCCCCCTCTTGCTGCTCCTTGTGTGCAAAGGGCTGGGGCGGCAGAAACTTGATTCTCCAACATGCCGTTTGTCAGCCAAGTGGAGGTGTCTGCCATGCCTACCTCTTCCTAAGAATGAAGGTCACCTTTTTGGCCAATGTGAGAGTGGTGGTGGGTGCTCGCATGGGGTTTGAACAATTATTTCTCAGCGCAGCGCAGCGCACTGTCCAGTACACTACCATGTCAACTTGGAGCCACAAACTCTTCTCGTTCTTGCTGCGAACAGAGATTCGACCTTACACAACACAACAGATTCGCTTTGCCGACAGATTTGCCCTGTCAGAGCATGTTCTGCGGGAAATCCCCATACTCTAACATGTTTCGATTTCAGACGAAACATATATTACAATTGTGAAAGCTTGCTTATTGCAACTTGTAATAGGCATCGTGCTTCATTTCATCTGGCATCGTGCTTCATTTCATCTGGGTAAGAGTACATCAATCTCGTCCAAAGGTCTACAACATACAATTTCACTACATAGGGTGGGAGGGTGGGGAACTCAAACTAAAATCTGAAAAGAAGAACGTGAGTGAGGCCAAATGGCCTCCAACCCCTCTTTTGTAGCCAAAAGAGGGCGAGTAGCGATGCGACGCTGCCTTTGCTGCGTTGGCAATCGCTTTACTATCACAATACAAAATTTTAGAAAGTGAATACACTTTCAAAAATTATAATATTGTGAAAGCTTGCTTATTGCAACTTGTAATAGGCATCGTACTTCATTTCATCTGGGTCTGCTGAGACATGTGCAGAGGAGGACGGCGCTGTCGCTGGATAGACAGCTGATGCTGGTTGGAGGATGGGGCTCGTATGGGGTCCTGGATCAGCCGGGATGCTGCAACGAGCTGGTCTTGAGCGATGGTGACGTAGAGCTCCTTCGAAGTGTCGCTGCGCCAACGGCCTAGACGTTTGAACATTCGATCCGTGATCCCGACTCCGGCAGCTGTCGTTGCTGCACCTTTGCAAAATGAATGGGTGCCCAAGTGCTTTGCGTCGAGCCCGACCTTGCAGAAGGCTTCCAAACGCCAGTTCCGAAGAGTGGGGTATGAGGGAGATTTGTCTTGTGGTGTTGCCTTTGCGCCACATGGGAAAACTCGGATGAGGGGGCCTTCGGTTGATGAGTCACAGCCGACAATCTTGATGAATTTTTGGGTGGTTTGGACTGGGCAGTATGGCCCGTCTGTTGCCGCGACTGGGACCCACACTCCTTTGCTCTCCTAATCAGTTTTGGAGTGTGGGATTAGAACCCACATTGCCGTATCCTCGAATTGAATGTCCTGCCACTGAATCGCGACCAGGTCGGAGTAGCGTAGGAACCCAGTGTACATCAAGAGCGGAATGAGACCTTTCTGAAATTCGGATGGGATGTGGGATGTGAGAAACTCTTGAGCCATGCTATGGACCTGGTGAAGCGGGACTGGATCGTTGGTCCGGTTGGGGCGCGGTGCGTGGCGCTTGGCGAACTCGCGTACTTGCGATGTGAAGGGGCCGTCGGTGGGACACGCCGTCCCAATCATTTTGTGTGCGAAGGCTACCGCAGAGCATGTTAGTGTGATAGCAGATAGCGTGGCTTTGTGCTTGAGGGCGTGCACGAGGTACAGCGCGAGTGTCAGGTCCGTGGTAGGCAGGTAGCTCAGCGAAACCTTCTTGCAGAAGGCTCGGAACTTGAGCCAGTAAGGTTCATAGGTCTGGTTGGTGGAGGGGGCCCTCACTTGGCTGATGACCGCCAATAAGAGCATGCAATTACATTGAGAAATTTATAGCCAATGCAAGGATGGGACTATTTGGAAATCCAGCGCCTGAGAACGAAGATGTGTGTGTGCCTGGGTGAAGGCATTGACTACCGCTTGCAAGTGCTAGGTGGCTGGTGATCCCCTTGGCCCATGTCTGGGGAGATGGCTGCACAAGGGGCCACCAAGCAGCCCCTGTCCATTGTGGAATCACAAGAGTGATCTTTGCGTGGGTGCGTTGCGCGTGCCGAAGGGTTGCTGGGATGAGGTGGGGGGGTGGGAACGCGAAACCGTGCACTGTGAAACTGAATGAACGGGAGTGAATGACTATGAAATGAAGTGGGTACAAATAGGGAACCCTAATTGGGTTGTACCCCTTATGGGATACCCCACTATAGCCTACAGAAACAAGTAAGCTATATGTTCTGACACACCCCCATAGGCAAAGTGGGGGAGAACAAGGGGTCACAAGACCAGCCAAGCAAAGCAAAGCAAAGCTCAGGGTGGATCACAAAGTCACCACGCATTCCGAGCACAAGTTCAAAGGCCAGAAGGCCAGTTTACATGCAAGATCATATATAGAGATATACAAGAATCAAGCAAGCAAGAGCAAGAGTATATATAGGCGAAGGTACAAGCAAGGTCAAGAGGAGAGCAAGTGAGGCAAGACAGTCACAAGACCCAACTGCGTGCAACAAC